TCTCTCTTTTTTTTTTCTTTATTAGAGCGGTGAGCCTTGATGGATGCTATCTTCATGATTACACATGCGCCGCTTACCTCAACGAACTCACCCGTCATCGTCAGCTCGTGATGGAGTGACTGATTTAGCTGATACACACTACAAAACAACGGTGTCAAAGCCCCCACAGTTCAAGAAAACAAAACAAAACAAAAAAGAAGCTTGTTTTCTTCTGTTCTGTCTCTTCCATCGTCTTGGCGCTTAAGATATTGTCCTGTGCTCACTTCTTTCCCTTGTAAAAAAAAAATCTTTCCTCGCGTTTTCAACCCCGCAATGTGAAAATCCCCAAAGAAGAACGTGTTTGTGTATTGGGCTCTCGTGTGAATGTAATGCCAAAGTTGAGCTCCTCCTTTGTCTCCACCACTTGTGTCTGTTGCTGTGTACTACAACACAGAACAAAGAACGTGATGAATTTGTTAACAGACCAGAGAACTAAATCAATTTCCACAAATAGGTTTCAGAGTATTCGGTTTCCATGTCAGATGAAAAAGAAAAACCATACAGAAAGTTCATTAGAATATGAAATTGAATCCATAAATGCCCCAAATATAAGGTGGTTTAAACCCGAAATATAGATCTGGTGACAAATCAATTCATCGATATACTGTTCTTCCCAATTTTGTGGATCCTTGAATGGCCAAAGCTCTTACGTTAAGTCGCTGCATTCCTGTCTAATCCATCTCCGGGAAATTTCACGGAAGAAAAAGCGGTTGCAGAAATGGATTCAACTGATGGTGCATACGGCGATTTTGCTACTTACCTTCGCCAAGGTTACTGAGCGGTGAAGACGCCGCGCCTCATATCATCCGATTCCTAGCCCAAGATCTGCTTGGCCTACCCGCGCGTGCAGTCACTCTCCGAAGGATAGCACGTGGACATGGAACTTGCGGTGAATCGGCGCCGGAGGGTTCGAGGAACTGGAGGCGGCGGCTACGATCGCCATCGCCGGCGAAGATGTACTGTTTGTTGGGAGAGAAGACCTGTCGGCCTTTCAACGAGGCCACGAACCGTATTCCGGAACTTCTTCTATTTCTGATTCCACCCCATAAAGTTTAAGTCTTTACGAATTTCACCTTTTCGAAGGACCGTATCCGTCGTCCCTCGCTAGATTTCATAATTATTTTGCGAAAACAATATTTAATATTTATATCAGACTAAAATGAAGGCAAAGAAATTTCAGTTGATAACCGTAAACTGAAAAAGAGTACAACCAATACGACAAAATATGCTACATACAAAAACTAAAACCCCAAGAACCGCCCCATACTTCTCAAAAACTTGCAACCCCCCCGTCCCGGGATTCAAGGTTAATACAAAGAGCCCCAGCACTTTCATTTTCTAAAACTTTCACCCCCACTACTTCTCCCTACGGTTAACAAAGAGATACAACAAAAAACTGTAGAAAAGCTTCTCTGATGCTTCTGGTCAGCTTGTGAGTTAGCCGGAATCAATAAGAAAAGGCCCGCCCTGTGCTGGGAACTAACCACTTAACTTGGGCCAGAGACTACGATGGTGCAATCAGTAAGACTGGTGGTGGTTCGGCCACAAGAAAAACTCTGCCTGGTTTGGCTCCATGACTGGCATGGCACCCTGAACCGTTGAGTTAGACCCGGACGAATCCGACGCCAGTGTGGCTCCAAAACTTCCGGCCGGGAAGTGCTGGAAGAGGTTCTGGTGGTGGAACAGGGTGGCTGGTTCGAAGGGGATTCCACAAGGGATCTGAGACTGAACCGGAGAGCCAGACAGGAGCTGGTGCAGATGGTGGTGGTGGCCCACGACGACTGGTTTTGGCTCGCAGGAGGCAGATTCTAGAGACAGCTTAAGACGCTTAGCTGCTCCGCCGATTGGCAGGGAACTCTTCATTATGGTTTCCACGTCGTATCGGCTCATCTCAAAGTTCGTCACGGCGTTTACTCCCCTGAACTTTATGGCTGCTATATCGTATGCCTCTGCCGCCTCTTCCTCCGTGGCTGCGAAACAAAAAAGAAAAGAAAAGCACATTTAATCGTCGGTCCAACGTTATTTATCTCCACATAATCAAATTTCATTTTTATTTACCAAAGGTTCCGAGGTAAAGATCCTTGTTCCCTGCAACCCGACCAATCCTTGCTTGCCAACGGCCCTGCTGATGATGCCTGCCGGAAATCGTAGCACCATTTTACTAACCGATATCCATCGTACAAGACTCAACGCGAAAACGGAAATTATGTAATTTGTACCTCGTTACGCCTCGGTATATAGAGGCTCCCCTAGAGAATCCACTACTCTTCCTGTACATAACAAAAAGGATAAACCAAAACCGTTTTAACATCATATTACAAACAAATGTTCGGAAAACGACGTCGGGAAATGCACTGATCTCACCTCCTGAGGGATGCGATGAACTCTTGCTTGGTCAACCGCTTCATCTCCTCCAACTCTTTCGCATAATTCGAGATCTACAACCATTATATCATATAATATGTTTATACAGAGTGATTTAAATTTTACATAACTGGTATATAGACGAGATACCATTAAGCTGAAAGGGAAGAGAAGTAACTGGGAAATTGGTAGTGGCAGTGGAACCCCAATACTTCAGAGCAGCTAAATCGTATGCTCTGGCTGCTTTGTCCTCCTTGTCATACCCACCTGATAGAGCATTTGAACGTAATTATTCGGACCGACCATGTGGATAACTCATTCAAATACAATACGACCGATACAGATATGGGTTCCGTACCTAAATACACTGTCGAGTGCACCCCGAGACGCAGACAAAATCCGACGTTACATGCGGAAGAAAGCAACACGAAATACGGTTAGTTGCAAAGAGGGATAAATAGCTTTGAACCCAAAGGACTGGTGACATTGATACAATAATTAAGAATTAACCATCATAATAAAGATATCCTGTTCTTGGTTCCAATGTGGAATGTTCATGGCCCATCTAATATTTACCCAGAAAGCAAAAGTTGAAATAACACACACACACACAAAAAGAGAAGGAAAGATGTTTATGGTCAAAAACATAGATCCCACCATTGATGTGGTGTGGTACAGAATTTAGAAACATTTTTTTTAAAGTAAAAGCCATTGGAGGGATATTCAGACATTTGCTTTCTTGATGTGAACACAAAGCAGTCTGACATTATAGACAAGATGGGATATTTATGTGTGAAATGAGGAAAACAGACAAAGGAGCAAAAATGGCGGCACCTGTGTCATGGAAATTTGAAAAATCAAAACCATAATAAAATATATTTTATTCGGTACAATCTCCTTTTTTTTTTTAAAATCATGATTGAAAGAAAGCGAAAGCATTGTGTTAGTCCTTTTCCCTTTTAAATTATACATTAAAAAAACAGCCTATCAATCATCAATATATATAAAAAAAAAAAGCAATTAAAGTTTATGAATCTTGCATGCAATTTTCTTTTCGCTCTTGAAGAAAAACATGTGTAGAGCAAGCTCCTCCATTGAGGTCCTTTTGATTTTCAAACCATAAAAGTTCAAAGCTTTTGAAACACAAGGAGAGAAGATGATCGCCAATCTTAAATTTCCAGTATATTCCGTACAAAAAAGTTTCTGGTTTTGCTGCTGACTTGGATTCTCATAAGCATATAATAATAATGCTTATGATTTTGTAGCTTATGCACAAAATGATAAAACGCAATATGGAAAAAAAAATGATTTTATGTGCAATAATTAAAAAAAAAGGGGTGATGTTGACTACCTTGACGGCCTTTCCTGGCCTGGCCCTCCCTCCTACAGCTATTATCCCATAGATGAGCTTCGTATCTGCCTGTCCATCTGTGCCTGCATCCATCGATCAAACCAACCCAAAAGATGACGGCTTTACAAATCAAAACTTTGAATTTGACTTCAAAGTCTAAGCCTTGTTTCCAATCACACAGATCATGACCATCCTCCTCGTTGCATTTTTCAGACATTGAACTAAGCTATAACTAAACCGTGATGTTTTCAGTTTGAATCACAAAATTTGTACTTACCGAGTGACTCCTCGGTATATCGAAGTCCGTTGTCCGAACGTATCGGAGATCTTCTTCGAACAGTCCGACGTTTCCACCGCCACTACGGCCTTATCGTTAACGGAAACCGTCTTCCCGTTGATGTTCCGGTCGATATTTCTACTGCTGAAGGTATCAGCGATAGCTTTGGAGTTGTTTATATCACTCTTGGGGATGCTGTTAACCCCAAGTGATAGAGCTCCTCCGTTGTTGCAAACGCCCGGGAAAACTAGCTCCGGCCCGGATGAATCCGCCACGTGACCGAGAAACTCGCCGGCGAGATGGGTCCGGCCGATGGAGGCTGAGTCATCGACCTCCGAGCCGGAGTTTGTGGAGAAAGCTGTCTGAAACCCGGCCATGGCCTTGAAATCATGGTGATCAGAGAAGAACCCGGCGGTAGCGGCCTGGCGTTGGTAGTGGTGATGGGTGTCGTAGATTTGGGTAAGGGAAGAGTCTTGGGTTTCCGTTTGGCTGTCGGAATAACGGACGATGGAAGAGGAGTCGCCGAGAAAATCTTCGAGCTTGGGGATGGGATTATGGGTATGGATTTGTGGGTCGACGAAGTTGGTGAGGATGGTTGAATTCGCCATGGAAGCTGTTATTTGAGCTTCTTCTTTGAATAGGTCCTGGGGCTTCTGGTTCGTCCACCCTATCATCCAAAAAATCGAAGAAGATCGAGCAAAATAGTCAGCAACATCAAATCACTGATTACCATCGATATTGAACCGAACTATGACTAATAAAAATGCATGTTAGGTTTCCGACATAAACTAGGAAAAAAAACTATTTTACAAAAAAAAAATTCCGAGAAGGGAAAAGAAATGAACGCAGAGACAACCCCGGAACAGAAAAATCGAAGCTTTAATCAAACAAATATCACAAATAGGGTATTGTTGTTTCCCCTCAAATCCCTCTTCCCCGTTTTTGTTCTTTATCCCTCCTTTCTCGAGAAACAGACAAGGCAACTTAGAAAATACGGGGGATGATTAGTTCATCACTCGGTTAATGGTATATGGTAAGCTGCAAAGTCGGTTTCCATCATATACATACACGCGCGCGCGTATAGGAGCATCTAGCCTTAGCCTGTAAACAGCGTACACTACAGCACGAATCATATTATTTTCTTTGCACCGGGGAAAATCTTTCTCTTTCTCGGCAACCAAACAGAAGCTGATCTCCAAAAACACAAGAAAGATGACGGATTTTTACCATAAAAATTATCGAGGAGATAGTGAGGAGAGGCGGCGGAGGAAGCGTCGAGATAGGACATGAACTGAGACTGATCAGATGACCTCGGCATCTCCATTGGTGACAGCGAAAACGCTAACCAGTTCGTCATCGGAGCCATCAAATTGTTTCCCTTCTCTCTCTCTCTCTTTTTTTTTTCTTTATTAAGTATTTTTTTTAAAGTTTGTTTCTATCTTTTCTTCTTCTGTAAATCCTGCGAGAGTGACGAGGTGGAAAAAATGAGAGAGACAACAAACGCCTACACATCTTTCCTTCTTTTTCAACTTGCGGCTGTTTCAATTTTTTTTTTTTTTTTGGTTATGCAGAAACAGACAAGAACAAATTATGAAAACCCAGAAAAGCCCAAGACGGGAAAAAAAGTTTTTTTTTTTTTGGATAGAGGGCTTTGAAACCTAATGAAAGCGTTACACTCTATCTTCAGAACTAAAGCATTTCGGAAAAAGACTGTAGATAGATATACTTAACGTGAATCACGAGGTTCAACGCCGGCGTTCCCTTTGTCTCAACAGATCTACTGCATGTCTTCGACTTTGTTTCTCACAGAGAGAGAGAGAGAGAGAGAGAGAGAGAGAGAGAGAGAGAGAGGCTTTGTTGAGATCAAAAGAGAAATGCATGAGAACCCATTTGTGAGACGTTTGGCCAAAGAAGAAGCAGATCTGTGAGAATTGACTGAGACCGGTTCTTATAAAGACATGAAAAAAAAACAAATAAAAACAATAAACCAAAGACCAGTTGCAGCAGAGAGAGAAAGTACATTGTAGGGCAGGAAAAAAAAAAAGCAAGAG